AGCCATATAAGCCTGGTTTTTAGAGGATTTAGTTTTTAGATCGTGGATAGTGAGGCACCCGTATTTAACTGTGCCTATATCGTTAAGACTGGCGATATTCAAAATTTTACTAAAGAGGTTCTTAGGTGCCTAGAGCATGATTCGACATTAACTTGTCTGGGTGCAAGTGGCGATACTGTTAGATTTACATTTCTGAAGCAAAGAAATGCTACGCAGTGTGAGTTGTCAAGCGTAAATTCTGTCTCCGTTTAGCTTAACAGCCGAATATTTGAGGTGGAATGGTTTGTTTTTGTATGTCGTCATGACCTGCCATCGAAGCTCGCTTTTTTTGCGAAAATTTCCATTGAAAATTTGAGAAGATGAACTGGTGAACATACGTTTGTTTTCGATAATTCTCATTAGGCCTTTCATTTAAATGGTAATTAAGTAAATGAATGCGGGTTGGTAGAAAATTGAGAACTGTTGTAAGGAGAGGGGGAATGGGGGAAAGGTGGGTCAACATACGCTCAGCATTTAGGGGGAACTGGTAGTCGGCTGAGGTGTTAAGCTGCTGGCTGTTTGATTAGCAGATTTTGACCGTGGTAACTGCGGCGCCGCAACGAAGTTCTTTTGGGCGCACATTATCGGTTGGCGTAGCCTGATGGCGGCCGCTTCTGCCGTAGCCAACAGTCGCTATCCGAGAAATGTTGATTTACCTGAGGGTACCTTGTAGATCACTCCGATGGCCTCCCTGGCATCCACCAGATGGTTTGCGTTTACCAGGTGCGCTAGAATGGAACTGTTTACACCCTTTAGTTGACCCTTTCCTTACCATGCTGGAATGTGTTCTCAAATTCTTTTGGACAAACTCCGGCTCGTGCGACCAATATATCCCGCCCCATAGCAGCAAGTAAATGAATATATGCAAATAGATGTGGTCTGGGCTGGCAGTTTGTCCTTGATCTCTCAGTATAGCATGGGAGTCGTCGAGAGCAGTACATGGGCGTTGGCAGCTGAGAAGGTGGTTGTTACAGCTTGACTCAGGCGCCTTTTTGGAGTTCGCTTGGTCCGTCCCCTTGAAATGGGACTTTGATGAATATTGGATTCGTCTCTGCAGTTGACACTGCGGGTTTTGTGATACCCATTTTGTAGAAAGACATATTCAATCAATTTAGCTGCAGACGGGTCCTCGGAAGAGCACCGCAAACAATACACCTTTAAGTGTGTATTTTTAGCAAAAAATATCTTGTCAAGTTAACTAAGGGAATAACCGCTTACTTAAAAATTTCGATTAGGGTGGATT